ATAAAAAATAAAAATAAAAATACAATTGCTCTAGTAATCCTCAGTGGTTCATTGTTATTTTATAAGTAATTCGCGGCAATTCCAAACTCACACTGTTTATAACAATCTTGATAAGACTGACCAAATTAATAATTTTTAGACTTTGGTGTACATGTATCTGGCCAGTCAATAACTTTATCGTAAGTTTAAATTACATGACGTAGTTACTTGACAGTACTGGTTTCTGAGAAAACTATTTTGAAAAAAAAAAATCCTCACACACATTTTTGTATTCAAAGACGGAAAAACATTCCCAAACAAACAACACCCCCCCCCCACCCTTTACGCACAAAAAAGCCAGGCTAAATTTTTTTTCTGCCAGCAAACATGAGTCACAACATATTTATATCCTTCAGCTCGGACTGCAGTGTCTTTTTCATTCCACAAAACAAGCCAATTATCAGACTAGCATAATATGAATGTACAAAATCCTAATTACGGTTCTATTTGTGCATTAACGCAGTATTGTTTCATTTTTCAGACTGGATAGTGGGAGCCGAATCTTATAAAATTATAAAACTGGCTGAACAGGATTGTTCCTTACTGAACAGGCCTCATGCTCTGTGGCCTGAAGGGTCACACCACAGATGAGGTTGGCAGACAGATGTCAGAGTACATTCTTGTTTATTGTTTCTTTTCCTGTCCATTTCAGAGCAATGACTATCGTACTCCTCGATATCATTGTCTCAAGAAACAAACCAAACTGCACAGTCAGTCGATGGGTTCCACACACCGACATGACATTATAAGTCTTGGGTCTGTAAACCGGATCGTGCCAAACGGGGCGACATGTATCATTTTACCTTGCTGTCTGAACGTTTCATAATGTAGGTTAATGCTTGTTTTAACCTCCCCTGGGAGTCAGATTACAGGGGTAAGTTTTAATAAACAGTTTTATTTAATGACAGTGAATAAATGGTCACACATGTCAACTCTCTGCACTGACTGGTCGACTGGGGATCACAGAGGATGATGAACTCGACCCACGCGACACAGGCGGGGCTGGTAGAGCTAGAGGAGTCTTCTCGGACGGGTACATCGAGGAGCTGAGAGATGGTGGTGGTCCTGGAAAAGCCGCCACTCTGGACACAAGAGCTGCATGATGTGCGGCAGCTTGGCTCAGGCTCAAAGGGTTCAGGGGTGCCGGTTTGATAGGCATTCCTGGAAGGAGCCCCGTTACGTCGTGCCCGACCCCAACCGTCGCCGCCGCTGACTTGAGAAAGTCTAAGTTGCTTGAGAATCGCGACATGAAGCTGGAGGTTAAATTCGAAGAGGTCAAAGGTCCGGTGAAGGACGAAGAAAGGTCAAGGCCAGCGGCGTAGGACGCAACGAGGCTGGCGGACAGCGATGGGCCGAACTGAGATGCGAACGGGGGTAACGACGGTGGGAGGAGTGTTGCAGGAGGTGGGGGAAGAATGCTGGATGGGGACTTGTAGTCCGGGGAGATGAGGCTCTCAATGGAGAAGGAGTGTTTTGTGGGCGGTGCTGGGGTCGGAGCGAGATATGGCTGAAATCTAGAAGACACACCCCATGAATGATGAAGCCTTGCCCTCGCGGCTGCCTCTTGCAAGTACGCTGCTGTATCGAGCCCTCCTGAAGACTTCATGGCCAAAAGTTCTGGAGACGGTGGGCCACCACCATTTAGCTGTGACTGTCTTAGCTTGAACCTCTTACGGCGACGTAGGAAGCTACCATTTTCAAACATATCTCCGCACATAGGGTGCAGTGCCCAGTATGAACCTTTTCCAGGGCGGTCTGGGCGCCTGGGGATCTTGATAAAACAGTCGTTGAACGAGAGGTTATGGCGTAAGGAGTTCTGCCAACGTTGGGTATTTTTGCGGTAGAAAGGAAAGTTGTCCATGATAAACTTATAGATATCGCTAAGAGGGAGCATCTTCTCACCAGAACTCTGTATCGCCATCGCTGTGAGAGCAATGTAGGAGTACGGAGGTTTCTGCTCGTCGTACGTGTTTCTACCTGGGCGAGGCATGATAGAAGAAGGTCAGGTAGAACAAATAAAATTCCTGAGAACCTTCCTAGACTCTGAAGGCTGTAGACTGGATGTCCATCCGACGTCAGAATTCTTCAGAGCACTTCCAGGCCACTTGCTTCTCCTGTCACTGTCAGATTAGAATGTCCTCTATCAGCTCAACAACACACTTCTGAAAGAAAGAAAAAAATATTGGGAAAAACCCAGACCTGTAAATATTCATAAACTATAAAATTTGAGATTTTGGATTTGCAGTAGCTCAAAAAATGACACTGAGTTAAAGATATATTATCGGTTTTGAATTCTCTTCTCACATTCGAAATCTGGGCTGTTCTTTGGACAGTTTTTTGTTGTCCGAGTTTGGAGTAAAAAGCGACTAGAATTATTTTATCTGAGTGAATATTTTAAGTAAATGAATGCGTTAACCGCTAGATTACAGCGGGAAAACCCCAAAGCACCATGAAAAAGAAATTACAAATGACAGATGCCAACTAAGGATTGGTAGTGAAGTATAAAGTGTCCGAGACACACTGGCGGAGTTTTCTGCTTGACAAAGCCCCTTGTGATTCCGAACAAAAGGGTTACGCAACATTTTCTTGTACCGGTTGTCAACAAAAAAATGATGTAAATATGTAAAGAAGATAGTGATTCATTTAGCACGCTGTCTGGCCGAGCCAGAGGATAGGGTGTTTCACTGATTTAAACACCTTGAACTATGTGTTGACGTTACAGTGTACCCAGCAACAAAGACACTGGCGCCGAAAACTAAATCTGCCGTGGACTGTCACGGATTCAGCTTCTGCAACTCGAGCCGTTTACGTGTTGAAAAAAAACCCGTATTAGATTCTTTATATATTGTATATTATGATTTCTGTTCATATAAAAGACACTATACAGCTTTCGCTTTTACTTTCGCTTATTAGAAACCCAGTTTGGTCTGCAGGAAACTGCTGGGACGAGAAACAACACGTTGAACTTCTTTTCATAACACAAAACATCATTAACGTTAATTTAAAGGATTGGTTATCTAAAGACATAAAGAAAGATAATATTTGAAGGGAGAATGGGCAGAATAATTGATTTTTTTTTCAAAGTCAAGAATCTTCTTACAACACCAAAAAAGAGAGATGTGTGTGTATGTGTCCGGGTGTGTGTGTCTCTCTCTTTCGTGATCTCTCTCTCATCTCTCTCACTCTGTATGTGTGTGTGTGTGTGTGTGTGTGTGTGTATGTGTGTGTGAGTGTGTGTGTGTGTGTGTGTGCATGTGCGTGTGTGCGCATATGTTTGCGTCTGCGTGGGGGTGGTGAAACATTAAATTAATAATTGTATTAGTACCTTGGCAATTAATTAGTTCTGTCTTATCTTATAATGAGAACTCAAAAACACCCTCCTAGCACCGTTCTGAAATCAACTGCAAATTACGGGCATTGAACAGCCGAAACAATGATAGACTAAACTAGTCCACTTCATTTTTGCAAAGTTATAACCGGTCTAAAATGCACTGTAAAAAGTGTTTTAACCATTCGGTGAAGAAGAGCACATAATTATAGAGGCAGCTTAAATAATCAATCGACGAGCATTCCTCCGGAAAAAAAGGAAATAAAAAAAATATTGACGTTTATAAAAGAAACAAAAGACTCGTGGGAATTCCCAAGGAAATCATCGATCCCGAGAATTATTGTACTTCTAAATTCGGATTAGGTGAATAACAGCTTCTAACTCCGTTCTCAATCAAACTGTTTGTGCAATGTCGAAGTGGGCATTGGGTGTTTGTATTCATTCTGAGGAATGCAGTGGCAGAGTTCGACATTCTATACCAAACAAGAAACGATATATCTCCAACAACGACGGTGCCTTAGACAAACATACGCAGACGCCAAAGGAAACACACACACACACACACACATACACACACACACACACACATACACACACACGCACACACACACACACACACATGAA